CGTAGTCGAGCCTCGGCGCGAGTAGGATATTGCAGGAGTTTTGCTCCTGGGCTTGTGCTGCTCCCAAAGGCATTTTCGGTGGCACGTCCCAAACTCTTCAGATTTTTGATCCCTAAGAGCAGTGGTGGTGGTTTGGAACATGAGTTGTGTCCCGCTCCTTCAGCAGGTAGCGGCACGCTGTCTCTGAAGCTTTCCAGCCAGCTCCCCTCATCGTAGCGTATGAGAAGGCGCTTTTTGCGTGGCCTCTTGTGCCCTAGCTGATACATAACCCAAAGTCTGCTTTAGGTCTCTTTGTAGATCATTTTGTATATCTCTGGTTATATCCTGATATAATATGCTACCTTATGCTGTTTTCAGGATGCATTTCTGAAGGCAAAAGCCTTTCTAGCTTTTCTAATGTGGTCTCATCAGGGACTTGGGTGTCCCCTAACACCCAACTAGGTGGTGTTGCCATTTAATGCACAATTAATATTTTCATCTATAACTGTGAGGCGGAGGTCTTTGTTAATGAAACTTACTGCGCAAAAGATGAGAGGAATCGTCGATACAGAAGGGTTGGACTATTCTAAAGAAGAACGAGAGAAAGAGCAAGGTTTGAACTAACACGTGAATGCCATACAGGAATACAAAATGTAATGCTGGGGGGGAGCACTGTTTTTGAAAACAATAGTTCAACCTATGAAACTTTGAAGTGAGGTCTCAGGGTTTCCCTTGGGTATTTACCTTAGTGGACCCAGCAGGTCTGTTTAACAGACTTTATTGACCCATGTTGAACTGGCTGTAGGACTTTTTTTTTTGTGTGTGTGTATTATGGCCTAAGTGCTGTCCTGTATTCAGTGCTTAAAGTTGCAGGAACGGGGCAATGGCTCCTTATGGGAGGTAACACCTCTGAAGTAACTATCGCTAGGGAGCACCAGGAGAGGGAGTGAGCAGCTCACTGACTTTGGTAATTCTGAGTAAGTTCACAAATTTTACTTCTATTTTACTGCTATTTAGTAGGGAGGCGAAGAAGCTAGTAGGGGGGTTTTTTTGTGTGTTTCAGAACTGTGCCGACTAGGACTGCCAAGGTTGCAGTTGTGTCATTTCCTCTGCTTTAACTGAAAGTGGCAAATAACACTTTATATTGTATTACCGGAAGTAGCAAATAACACTGAATATTGTATGCTAAAACCAACCTTAGGCCCAGAGAAAAATTCTCTCGGACCTTGGTACTTCTGTAATTCTTGCACAATGAGTGACAAAGCATCCAAAGACATTTACAAAACTTCTGGACTAGCATCTCTTCAACATCAGTTGCCAAACTGCCCACTGAATACTGCATGCAAACCTGGAGCATGTTCTCATGCAGTGACATAGTGACTTGCTGTGAGGATTCAGTATCTCTGAAGTACTTGAAAACAGTAGTTTGATGAGTGATGCTGTCCCAGAAACCTACATGAGTTGTAATTCAGAGATAACTGTGCTGCTGTGTTTTAGTATCAACGTTGACTTTGTATTCTGTCCTGTTTGGACTATGTGGAGTTCTAATGGGGCAAGTACTGCTGTTTGTTGCTGGAAGAAGTAATAAACCTGCTGTACCTATTGTATGTCCTGATAAGGCTGCTGTGGGAAAAGTGAAGACAATCTGAGTTGTGACTTGACTCTTGACCTTTAACTGAGCTCCATGTGGAGCATAAAATGTGTTTGTTTAAGTTCAAATCATGGATTATCAGGCCTCCATGGTAAAATGTCAGGCTCTGGAAAAAGGCCCCTCTTCTAACAGAACTTCTGGCAACTCTCTTGGGAAGTCTGATCTAAGAAATTAGTATCTCAGAATATAGTATCACAGTTGGATTAAAAAGGTTAGAGGGGTGAGAAGAGGTGAAGGAACTTGAGTGTACCAGAGAGAGCTTTTCATACAATTTAATAGATCTGACCTGCATTCCCCTTTGCCATTTCTGCCCTTTCAGGAGAGACCAAGTTTCTGTGGAAGTTTTCCCTTACAGAGTTTCGCACAGACTGGTATGTGTCCTCAATAAAAAGTAAAGAGGGAAGTTTTGGTTTTTTTTTTTTTTTTTTCCCTTTGCATGTCTATGGAGCCATTAGAATAATTATCACCTAGCTTTGCACTCTGGGAATAGGAGATGGAACATTTTGTCTGTTGGCTTTATGGACCACATTATAGTAATTTGGTCAAAGAACAAAGCTTTTAGAAGTCTCTACATAAAGTGTGTGCTGCTGCTTGCTTGTTGCTCAGGCTTCTTAATCTTCTCCCTGACTAACACAGTGCAAGTGGAAGATGCTCATTTTACAGATTCTCCCATCTTTAACCTGTTTTACACCAAAACTGTTTGATTACTTTGTCTGGGTCTAAATAAAGTTGATGTGAGCCTATGTCACAACTGTTCTGACTTGGGATTAATTGCGCTCTGTCCGGTCAGTTGTTAGGTTCCTGTTGGTTTTGATGCTGGACATTCCCAGCATAGGGAAAATCAATGAATCTTTTTTGATCATTTAGTACAAATGATTTTTGATTATTTATGTCAACAGTTAGTTCTAGTCGTGAATTTTCACAGAGTGAGAAAACCTTTGGGCTTCATTGGATTTGAACTAGTTAATTCACTTTTTTGTTTGTTTGTTTGGTAAGAGGTGATGGTCATCATGTGATCCAGTTTTAATGGTGGTTTCTGGAAAGTATCTTCAGTGTTTTACACCCAGAGCCTGAAGTCTGTAGGTAATTGGTGCATTGTCACATTTAATTTGAAACTGCTGTCTGGACAGTATCGCTGAGAGTGCTGTGAAAAAATTTTGGTGTTATCATCTACCCTGAGACTAGCAAGGCTGTCAAAGCTAGTTTGACTGAGGCAGCTGCGTGGTTTTGGAAAAATATGCAAGCTGTTGTATGCACAGATGTCCAGCTGTTGAAATAGTAAACTCAGTGCTTTTTTTTTTTTGAAGAAGGGTGGAGGGAAAGGGAAGGGAATCCCTGTTCCTCTCTCAATAAACAATGAAACAAATAACTCGTAGTTGACACTTTCCTGTCTTATGATAATTAATGTTAGAGAATTCGTGGCTTTATTTTTTCACTTACAGTATTTCTCAACTTCATGTAAGTGAGCATCCTGTCCAAATAGTATTTCATCAGTGCATTTACCCCTTCGTACTATCCTGTGGGGGTGGGGGGAATAACTTTGTGAGTGCTTTCAGGTTGCTCTCACCCTTCCCAGCATACAATGGAGAGGGCCTTGACTTAAAGGTGGTGACTTGACTCTTCAGTTGCTCTACCTTTTTGAGTCACTAATTTTTTCAATGATTTGGTTTTGTATTTGACTGTTTCTCTTAGGAGAACATTTTGTTTCCTGCTCAGTTTGTAACTGGCTAGAATGTTCCAAAGTCAGCAGTCTAGAGCCCTGGGTGAGGAGTTTGGGTCGTGCTTTAAGTCACTACCACTGCTCTTAGGGACAAAAAACCTTTAGAACTTGGAGTCCTGCCAGTCCCATGCTGGAGAGCACAAGAACCTTGATGAGAATCCTACCAGAATGCAATTCTGCTTCTTGGAAATTAAGGTAAATATTTCCCTCCTCTGTCCACTGTCACTTGGTTGTTTTGGTTTTTTTGGTTTTTTCCTCTCTAATAGTTTGCACCTCAGTCCTGTCAACTTTGTTTAAGAAAAAAATCCGCCTTATTTCATAATGTTTATATACATGAGAAGATAACATTTATCTTAATCTTTTCCTGTGATACAGATGCAATGGATCAGCTTGAACAGAGGGTAAATGAATTTTTTATGAATGCAAAGAAAAACAAACCTGAATGGAGAGAAGAACAAATGACATCAATCAAAAAAGTAAGGATATCACAGGAGTGGGTCACATTTTTCTTTGCAAATGAAGATAACCTTAGGAAAAAATAGCTTATGATTGATGGAGACTTAAGCGTTCAGAGCTGTGACTCCCCTTGGGCTTTCACAGAGATGGATAGAACTACCTAGGAGGAGGAAAATGACAGAAAGGTTTCTTTGATCAAGCATTTCTCTCAAGTTTTACCCAGTATTTGCTAGCATTTTAAAAATTATGATCCTGAAATGCTGAGGAAACCAGGTACTAGATTTTCAGCTCAGACTTTTTGTTTCTGCTTGTGTGACATGAAGTTGCGTGAGTTAATTGGCTTTCTTTTAGAGGATATTTTTCAAGCTTAGCTTCAGTGTTTCTGGTGATTCTGCCTATGTCCTTGTATATGTTATACCTATGGTATATGTAGCTTTAGGGACAGAGTAGTAAGAAGATGGATGTGTTTTGTTTTATCCTTCAACACTCGGGCATTGGTGGTGGTATTGTTAGCAAGGTAGTCCATCATTTTGTCAGGAGAGACTCCTTTCTAGTTTCCTCCACTTGCTACTTCAGCCCCTTATTTGGCCAAAGGGGTTTTTTTTTTCCTTAATTAATACAAATAGATTTCTGTGTTTAAAAAAAGAAAAAGTCAAAGCTCTGACTTCACTAAAGTAAATGAAAAATCTGCTTTTGACTTTAGTTGGACCAAAATTTCAAGTAGTTTTTGCCTAAGCAAGATACTCTTCAGTGGAAATTGAGAATGAAAAGGCACTTAAACCTGTTTAATTCTAGAGTAAAACCATGTGTAAACGTAATGTAAAAAAAACGTTTTGTCAGTGGATTTTCATTAGTTAGGGCAGATTCTAAAATCATACTGCTTTAGTCAAATTATTTTATAACATGCTTACATGAGTGTATTTTAAAATAAACTATATACATCATTATTTAACTACAGTGCTGGAAAGGCCTCCCCTCACAGTACTGTTTAGCATAATTTTGAAGGGCAGTAGTATCTGCAGTGGTCCTAAAGATTCATATAAAGTAAAAGACATCATCGCATTTTGAGTCCATAACCTTATGCTGCGTAATATAAAATAAATCCAAGACCGTTTCTATTCTTGTAGCATTTCTTGCAGAAATCTAAATATTGCTGTAGCAGGAAGTGTCCACATTTTGTAATATGGCACGAACAATAAATTGATATGTAATACATCTCTCATCTAAACTTTAGCTGATTGTTGTTTACAGTAGAGTTTCACAGTCCATCTGAAAACTGACTTGAATTTCTCCTTTTAACTTTTTGCGCTGGATAACAGTAGCTTAGAATTAATTCAGTTATGTTCATAATTTTAAAAAATTTCTTTTTATAACAGGATTATTATAAGGCTTTGGAAGATGCAGATGAAAAAGTGCAACTGGCTAATCAAATATATGATTTGGTAAGTAGACAGAAGGCTTGTGGTGAACTACCTAAATTTATGTCCAAAGGAGTTCTAAACATTTTGATAAGCACTACAACTGTGCTAGCTGTACTGTTATGTCAGCTACAAACGGATATTTTTGCTGGTGAAAGAAACATTCAATATTTACTGACTTTTAAGAATTGTGTTGCTTTGGGTAATAAGTGTCACTTAAATACAAAACGTACAGAAATAATTTTAGAAATCCTAAGGTTTTCATGCATGCTGATTTTGTCTTAGTTACTTTTTTCTGAAAAGAGATCACAAGCAAGTTACTCTTCCTTATAGCATGTGGTTTTTGAATTTTAAGTATATTTATTTTACATTTTCTCGGAGAACAGAAACTGCAGGTCAGACTGCACTAAAAAATAGTAGACATAAATATTTCTTGTTTGCTTTAGTTCCACTTCAAAAGCTTGCCAAAACTTAGTTCCCAAAGTTGGAACTTACCCCCTTTCTTTTGGTTAGCTGGTAACTGCAAAAACTGTTCATTTTTTAATAGTTTAGAGATACATACAGTATTCTGCTGTATGACTACAGATGAAGAAAGCATTTGGAACATAGTGTTTCTTTCCATGATACTAAGGTTACATTTTTTTTAAGGTAATTTTCAACACCCAAGAGCATGTCGTACTCAAACACACAGGAGTCTTCACATTTTCAATTTAGAGACCCTTTTACTGGATACTTAAGCTTACTGATGTATATAGTGGCATACAAATTGCAATTCGGTAAACTTGCCATTTCCCCGTGCAGCCCAACCTCTTCTAAAGTGCCTGTCATGTACTGTTCTTTCTCTTCCCCTTTCTATACCCATACCCACAACACCCCCAAGTCCTCTTAATCTTTTTTCTCAAAAGAAACACTTAACATTGTGTCTTGGAACATTGCCTACAGTAAGAGGACGGCTTCTGGCTGCTGAGCCAATATGCAGCCTTATTGTATCCTGCGATTGACTGCGCAGCCTAGGAGCAACAGGGCTATTTTGGTGTTAATTCTGCTGAGTTAGGGAAATGTGGGTGACCAAGAAGAAGTTAGCTTCTGTGTGTTTTTATATGTGCTTAGTGCTGCATGGCAGAGAATTGCTGGAAGGGAGATACTTAGCAAGCCTGAGATTAAGGGCGTAGATACCCATGTTCCAGAACTGGATGCTATTTATTGTTGCTTTGTTTGAAAAACAGGTCGACCGTCATTTGAGAAAATTGGACCAGGAACTCGCTAAATTTAAAATGGAACTTGAAGCAGATAATGCTGGAATTACAGAAATATTAGAGAGAAGTAAGTATGCATGATTTTCTTTAAGAACTTGACAGATTTTCTGTGAATTGGCAAAACTAAATTATCATAAACTTGTTAGTGGCCTGCAGTATTTCCACTTGTTCCCAAATTCTGTTTTGACTGGCATACTTTTCGTCAGTCAGTGATTCTCAAATTTTAGTTTCAACCTCAGTTTTTACCAGTGAAGTCAAAATACAACTGAGTTATTAGAATAGGTTTTTTTGCACAACTGTTGCACTAGCGAATTGCTACAGTAAGGTACAGAATTCTTTAAACCTGTTTTTAATGACTGTAGGTATTCAGACAAGTACTTTAGCTTAAGCTTGCCACCTACCTGGTTGGAAGTGTACCATTTATTACTCAAATTGATTGCCACCAAATTGAGGAGGGTCATTATTTTGGTTACAGGCGTTTCAAGTTATGTACTTGGTGGTTTTCTTTTTTTAAAGGGGACAGAATGGTTGTTTTGTAATGGGGTAGCAAGGGAGAAGCATTTTGGGTAAGAAACCTGCATGCTTAACAAATACAGCAATGCTAGTATTCAGACCGTGAACAAAAATGTAATGTGACAGCTTTTTGGCTCACTTGGTGTAGAAGAATCTGGCCCTTCTGTGTGCATCAGCGTTTAGATATCAAGTTCAAATGCGATTATGCTAAATGTCAAAGTTGATTTAACTACTGTGATTATGGCTAAGAGCCAGTGACTGTTCTTCATACCCAAGGACAGTAAAAAGTAGCCTAAATCACTTGAGGAGATTAGGAATAAATATTCTTTCTTTGAAGTTTGTGTGGCTTTGTCATAAAAGCTGGGAGTTTTTTGATATTTTATTTGTAATTAATATTACAAATAACAGGCACGAAAAGAAAACTGCAAAGTGCTTTTAATGATCTATCAACTACAGAAAAGGACTAGTTTATTTCAGTTGGAATTCCAGCTGCGGTTTTAAGATGTGATACTACCTACTCACTACCTGAGCTATGTGTTTGGTGAGGTAGGTAGGTAGAATTTCAAGAATTCAAAATAGAAATGTACCAGGCTGCATGTTGCATCTTTAAGGTAATTTTTTTTTAATAAAGTGAAAAGTAGAAGCCTGTTAACATTTTTAGCTTTCAGAGTAAATACATATCGTTGAGGTTCCGCCAGAGGGCAGCCTTTGGACTAGTGCATAACATGATTAATATTAGCTCAGCCGAAATATCTCCTTATGCTTTGAACCTCTTCTAGAATAATTTTCTTTAAACTTCTGTAATACACTCATGTACTTTTTGAAAGCAATGGAAAAGAAGGAGGTAAAGAAATGTTGAAGCTACAGATTTTGAAAAATTAATGTGAATTACTTTCTTGAGTTGTCTTCTTTATAAATACAAATTGGTAGGTATTGCAGCTAGTTCAAAATCTTTTTGTCAAAGATTGATACACAAACTGTTGTATATTGTTTTAACAGAAATTTGTGGGCAAAGTCTCTCCTACGCTGTGATCATTTAGCCTCATATTACAAGAAATGTTATTCTTAGACATAGACTTGCATTTGTGCCCCCTCCGCCTTCCCCGCCCCCTTTTTCTTTTTTGAATAGTTGCTCTGTGTATTTTGAATGTTAAGAAAATGTGGATGATGATCTGAAGCCCTTCCTGTTGAATGTTAGATCATCTTGAAAGATGTTACTAGTGCTTGTGTGTTTTGACTCAATGTGATGATGTGGACTCAGTGGGACAAGATGCCTCGTAAATACAGTTTACATGTTACAATCTTCTTTTCAATTCATATTGGTATACATTGTCAGTACCTTTGGTGTAGCATTCTCTAACTGTCACCAGCTTGCGTGCAACTCATTTGAATAAGTGGCATGTTGAGGGCAATGTTGGTGTTTGTTGTCCTTATTGGCCTTCATTTTTAACTTCTTGATTTCAACAGTTGAACAGCAGCAGTCACCAATTTTTATTTTAAAACTGTTCTTCTCACTGGCTCCTGGTTGTACTACAGGAAGGGTTTCAACTCTAGCAAAAATCCTTCTGATTAAAATAAATGTAACTGCATAGTGATTTGGTTAATATTATAAAGATTCATTTAGTATCTAAAAGTCAAAACCATGCCAATGTTGACTCTGAAATTCTCCTATCCTTTTTACCTCCCTCTTAGGGTCTCTGGAGCTGGATACACCATCACAGCCTGTGAATAACCATCACGCCCATTCTCACACTCCAGTAGAGAGTAAGTATTTGAGACTCAAAAACATGTCTACTTTTTATGTTTCCTTATTTTTTGTTGAGTAGTATTAGGAAAAAAAAAATGTTCAGAACTTTATTCTTTTTCTCCAAATATTTGGCGGGGGGGAGGAGGCATAATGCAGTGATAATAATGTCTGTGCAGAAGTGCAAGAATGAAATAGTAAGGTTTTGCTGGTAGGATTAGTTGAAAGTGCTTTTCTATTATCTCTAGTTATAGTTTGACTTTCAGGCTGAAAAGGTTTTACATTTAAGTTCCCTTCATTTGTTTCATTTAGAAAGGAAACACAACCCATCTTCGCACCATAGTACAACAGATCATGTTCCTGAAAAGAAGTTTAAATCTGAAGCTCTTCTATCTACCCTGACTTCAGATGCTTCTAAAGAAAATACACCAGGTAATCTTAATTGTCTTGCATTTTATTGCTTTTTAATTGGAAGAAGAGAAACCCAATTATATTTGTGAGTTACTGTCTCTTGAAATCAGAGGCTCATACCCTTTGCTCTGCGATTTTCAGTCATTTGAAACATTAGAAGTGGCAGGCATTGTTACTCATCTGTGTTGTCCATGAAGCACATCAGCTTTGCTCTCATTTAACAGCTGCATGTTGGCTGTTTCTTTTTATTTACGCTGCTTGGAAGATGGTAATAGTACAGTTTCATTCAGCCAGTAGTAGAAATATAAGAGATCAATGCATTATTTTGGGAAAAAGAAAGGCATGCAACAATTTTGAAAGTAAGGGAAAAGAATTTTCACGCTCTTTTTTATTAAGGGGTGGTCTAACGTGGCATTTGGCCACAATAAAATAAAGTTCTTTCTTGTGTTGTCTATTTCAAAGGAAGTGAGAAGTCTTTTTGACTAGTGAATGAAAAACCCCACAACTTTTTGCCCATTTTCAAAATTAGGGTGTTTCATAGTTTCTTTTCTGGAAATAAAAGATTGTGAGAGGTTATAGTAAGTAAACTACCTTACATTTTGGCATTTAGTGCTGTTCATCAGTTTAAGTAGTCTCCTCATACCCATTTAACTTTTCTTTTAAAGGAACTTCACATGAGATGGCAAATAAAATGTAACTACGTTTGAGCAGCTGTCAGTCTGTAGATGGGCATGGAAATCTGTGTTGCATTGAAACTGTGATTTGTAGTTTTTAGAATTAAGATTGTTAAAAGTTTTACTTCAGAAACAGTATAAGTGTCCAGTGAAATTGTTACTCTCTTCCTGATGGTTACAGTAGTCAGCATCATTTCAATGGAGATTTGGTTTATATAGATGTAGACACAGCAGCTGCATCTGTTCTTTGATAGCTGAATATGATAGTGAGGACTGTCTTTCTAAAAGGACCTCTTGCACATGAGGATAGCTGGGAAACAAGCTTCTTTTTTTCTTAAGCTGATACTGGCTGTGTCAAATGACTTTTTCAGCTTTTTTCCAAATGATCAGACGGCTCTGATGCGTAAACGGAGTTCCTTCTCTTTCACTGGTTGTCATATATAATTCTTCTTAAAATGCAAAGGAATTTAGTTTCATTTTGAATTTCATAAATGTGTTCTGTTCATCAAGGGTGTCGAAACAGTAATTCATCATCCTCTTCAAACAATGCATACAATACAAACTCTTCTCAACCATTGGCATCATATAACCTGGGCTCATTATCTTCAGGATCTGGGGCCGGTGCAATTACCATGGCAGCAGCTCAAGCAGTGCAAGCCACGGCGCAGGTAACGTCAAAACATTCTTGTTATTCTCCCATCCGCTATTGATTAAGAAGAAAGACTAGTGATTTTTTTTTTTTTTAATCTGAATTCCCATGATCACTTTCAGCTGATGTGATTCAGTTTTCATCATTTTTGTTTAGATGCTACCGTTTCATCCTGTAAAACTAGCATGAAGGGACAGCTTGTTTTCTGGCTTTTCCTGGGGGATATTCTTACACCTTTTTACCACTCACTGTGCATCATTTTGTTAACAGAGTAACTAATGAACCTGTGGAAATAATTAGCAGTTAGCAGCCTAGGATGTCTTCTGTAAGAGCTGTACTGTGTAATCTGATACAATATCAGTATTCCTTTTAGATGAAGGAAGGAAGACGAACATCCAGTCTAAAAGCCAGCTATGAGGCATTTAAGAACAATGATTTTCAGCTTGGAAGAGAATTTTCATTATCCAGAGATTCAACTGGATATTCATCATCAGCTCTGGCATCTACATTAACACAGACATTAAGTTCATCAACCACAGATTCACGAAGTGGCAGAAAAAGCAAGTAGGTTTTCTTACTTGTTGACTGCAATTACAGCTTTTAAGACAGCTAAGCTTTCTTTTAAAGGTCATGGGCCATATTAGAAATACTTCATATTTAATATCTGGGAGAGGGGATCAACAGAAGGTAGTTATTGCCTGCTGGCCTTTTTTTGTTCAGGGCTTTCTTCTTTTGTGCTCTCTTTCCCCCCCACTCCCC